AAGACCAGCACTCAATCCACTGTGCCACATAAGCCAGTGTAATATAGCATGGTTTAGAACCATTTCAGCACTACTTTACAAAAGCCTTGGGTAAACATATTCAGAAAAAGCTGATGTGTACAGACCAAGAAATGAAATGTGCTTTCTTTTAAGAGAGTAGCAAACAAAGGAGTTCGAAAATTACTGCTAGAATTTTGGAGAGCATCATTTGAGATAGTCCCTAAGTCATCATGCATGAAGCCACTGAAAAAGTAAAGCTTCAACTTCAGCATCACAATCTGGCTGTGACATTGCTTGAGCAGTCAAGACACTTAATAGCCTAATTTTGGAGCCTTATCTCACTTTGGTCCTACAAACATACAGCTGCAGACAACCTGGCCTGTCCTCAGAATATCCTTGCATGTTGTCACTTCTCCCTTTTTTAAAATCCTCACCCAAGGATATGTTTGACTTTAGCAAGGGAGGGACTGAGGGGGAAGAGAGAGAGACACAGACAGAGACATTGATGTGAGGGAGAAACTTGGATGGGTTGCCTCCCATAGGCACCTCAACCTAGGATCATACCCACAACTAGATATGTGCCCTGACCAGGGATCAAACTTGCAACTCACAACCTTTCTGTGTAAGGGATGATGCTCCAACCAATTGAGCTACCTGGCCAAAGCTCACCTCTCTTTATTGTATCTCTCATTCTCTCCACCCATCACTAATTTTCACATAAATGAACTGCCTTTCAGATCTTTTTCATCTACTGTAATTTCACCCAGTTTTCAAGGTAAAGTTCAAAATCTCTCACCTCCTTCTCTGTGAAGCCTCCCAGGTGACTTCTATGTATGGTGAAACCGCCCTATGATTGTGAGGATTATCTCAGCTACGCCTACCTAAAACACTTTTCCTAATCACCAAAATGTGACAACCTCAGTTTAATCCTTTCCTAGCATCTCAGACCTCTCCATCACAAAGAATTCAGTGCTCCCTGTTCTATTGATATTATTAATTATCCTTTTCAGATGCTTTGTTGGAGCCATTCAGCCCAGGGGAACACTTAAGATGGTGGGGGGAGATGAAGAAATGCAGAGAAGAAAATCAATTTTAATTATGAATGAGACTGAAGAGTTGGAAGAATTAGTCAAAAACCAAAAACAAGAAGCATCCTTTAGTGATGGATTGGAAGAGGATATTCAAAACTTTCTGAATCCCACACTTTTACTGAATAAATGCTAAGATCAATGTCTCTATCAGTACCCTAAAACGAAAACTTTCAGAGGTATTTCCAATGGAGTTGAAATTAGATGGTTTATAGCATTCAGACTGAATATATTTTATTTTCATAGGAATGTATAAAAAAGTACAATATACATCAAGTGAAAAATGCGTAGCATGAGTTGCACACAGCAGCTGGATGCTTTGGTTTCTGTATGCCCAACTGGGCACATCCAGCCCACAAATGGTAAGTTCCCAACATTCTCTGCAATTCTCATACAAGGAATCTGAGATTCTTATCTACTTCATAATAAATAAAGCTAATGATACTCACAGTGCTCACTGCATAGGATATAAAACAAAACAGGCACAGTCACAAATGTGAACAATAACTTTTCAGCTGGTTGACAAAAGTAGTCAATAAATAAGCTAAAGTCAAATCCCATCAATCGTATCAGTTCCATTAAACATTCTAAGCACTCACAGTTTTGAGGCAACTAAAGACTCAAATAGTCTTAGGTCAGAGCCAAGAGCAGCTTGTAAAGAAAGTGACCCTTTATGGTGATGACACCCCACATATTAGTATTGTACTCATGAAAGTTATTGACTTAGGATAGAGACACAATACATGTCATCGACCTTTTCACTTGTATGCAATTATTTACTTCCCAAACAACACTAATAACAAATTGCATCAAAGTGCAAAGCTATTTACACCAGAAGATTCTTATTCTAATGGAAAAATAAAACATTTGTAATAAAAATCATGTATAAAGTTACATTTATTAACAAATTCATTTCTTACTAAAACACCATCTGCAAGCAACACTCAGTTTCCACTTGCTATATAAATAAGTGTTACTGTTTTCAAATGTAGTTCCTAGAAAATTCTTCTAAGTCCCACTGTAGAGCACATCAGTCTATTTTCGATTGGGATGATAATAAAATCTGTGATATTAGGTTTTTACACAAACAAATTATTTGTTTAAAAAGCATGCTTCTATTTAGAAACTAATGTTTTGCAATAAATTTGGTTAGACTTCTAGTATCCTTAGTATTGGTATAGAAATCCTATGAATCAGGGGAATTTTTCAAGGATAGTATATAATTAAATTTTCTCCATTATGTGCACAAGCATAGACACAGAAACAAATGGGTGCACACACATGCACATTTCATTTTAATGTTTATCATGTCTCAATTCACAAATACAAATATGTCTGCTTATTTGTACATCTTAGAATACTGTGTTTCCTGGTCATTCACTTCCCAGTCCTCCCAAATACATTGAACTAACACACATGTCAGCCTCCTATCACTAGAGCCAGGGTAAGAATTGCGAATGTTCAAAAAAATCCAGTGATTATTGACAAGCCTTGTTAGTAATAATATAGTGCTGCTACTCATCAAAGATGACTACTTTGACTAGGGACCCAGAACTCAATGATTAGAACTCTTGGCACCAGGGACTGGGGCTAACTTCTAATGATAAATGCTTTTGAAAAGTTCATCAAGATATAATAGGATGAATTTCTAGACTTGGTCAGAGTTTTAGCCACATAAATTCCATTAGATTTAAAGCTCTATAATGTCCCACCCTATCTATACTTATGCCCATGTTCTGATTTACACATTTCTGAGCTCTTTGTTAGGCTGTCTAACCTCTCACTTCCTTTCCTCCTATTTTTGGTTTTCACATTACCCTTAGAGTCTGTTTATTCTCATGACTTTAGGGTGTTAAGCTTCCCTCTACCCCTCTTTTATATCCTTCCTTGAAAGCTATATTTTAAAATAAGTATTTCCTTCAATGATCTCTTATGATGACTTTATTTCACCTGGCTCATTTTCCTATAAGACTCTACCAAAGTCTATTTGCACTGTCCATTACTGAACACTGTGTGCAGTGCACATTGGCAGCTTCTTGGATCATCATCTCCAGAGTTGATGACAGCTAAGACTCTTTGGAAATGTAACTCTCAATGGTGTTCCATAGACTGAGCAAAAAACATGAAGTTGTTTCTGAATCTGGGTCAGCCAAGTTGTGAATGCATAAGAGAAAGGATTACAACAGAGTGGATCTCACTGGAACTGTTATCTGTCACGCCACTAATGAGATTTGTGCACAGGTTGACAGACCTCTTAATGGGCCAGTGGTATTTCCAGACCAGTCCTGAATGAAGGCACTGCTGTGTAAGGATGGAACAACAGCAGATACCAGGGCAAGGGCAGGAACTAAAATGATATCCCAGTCTCTCATTATACTCCTCCTTCAAAGTCAGTTTCTTTTTGGTTTATAAGTATTACAATCCTGTATTAAGTCATCCAGTGGAAATTGGAATCTGGGCTTCCAAATGACTATGCAAGAGTACAATAAGATACAGGAAGACAGAGTACAATTTATAAAATATAATTGAGGATATATTTTTTAGCAATTGTTTACCTTTATTCATTTTATTTGGTTAACATTATGGCTTAGAAAATGTAATCAAGTGACCATTTTTGAAATCCATTCATTTAACAAACATTTATTGAGTATCTGCTATATGCCAAGCATTTGTCAGGCACTTAGGATACAGAGGAGAAGGAACCATTCCTTATTTTCAGTGAGCTCACAATTTCTGTATCTGTCTCAGAAATGAAACAATATTAAAAATATGCATTCAGAAAATATAACCAACAACTCCAGCCCTCCTTTCCTTTGTGTTTCCATCATCCTCTGAAATTACCCCACCTAATAAGTATGAATAAAGGAAGAAAAGCCAGAGTGCACATTTGGGCAAGCTTCTCTTAATTTAGACGTCACTAACTTGGAGTATGCAACAATATAGACTGTCTGTGACTCCTATTAAGAATTTCAACCTAATTTCTTCCTCTGTGTCTTTTTAAGCTTTTAGTCACCAGTAACAGGAATCTAATAAAAAAGCAGTGGCTTCTACCAATCAAGTGCTTAAGGTAGAGTAGGCAGTAGCTTACATGGTGGTGTATGAGGGGCACCTAATATATGTACCACACCCAGGGGCCACAAGAACTGAGAACGAATCATTAGTGATTTGTTCCTTTAGGAGATGCATTTGTCCCTTGGGACTTCTCTTTTAAAAGGCAGTGATTCCTGAGATGGGTAGAGCATTTAGTAATTCTAAACCCAGTGGAATTCTGATTGAACATAATGTCTGGCTTTCACAGGAGGACTCAAGTTAGTTGAGAGTAGTATAAGATGGCAATATAGGTACTTGTGAGAGAAGGTGATGCAAAAGGGAAGATTGAGGAATATGGAATATAACATAAAATCTTACCAAGGGATAGCCCTGCAAGCACCCAGGAAGCTAAGATTGTTAAAGAATGCCTTCCACTTTGAGCTCCAGCAAATCACACTTGTATGTTCTTGTACCTTAAGGAACTTATGTGGTTTATGTTTATGATATGTTATTGGCTAATCAAGACCTATCATGACTGACAATTTTTTCATGGGCCTCATATTGTTTACGACCAATTCAAATCTGCAGTGTTAATTGTTACATAATACTGAAAATGTATTGTCTGAAACTACTTCATGACTCCAGCTTTTTATTCACTCAGAGTGACCTACTCTTTTGTCATTTCACATTATGAAGATTTAACTCTATTTGCAGAGTGTTAATCATTCAAGTCACAAGTGACAGAAGATCAAAACTCAGACCTTGAAGAGTCTCATCATTTATTGCTTTAGAAGGTAAATAGATTTGCTTGTGAATACTTGATTATGGAGGTTAGACCAGTAAATCAAAAAAGGAGCAAAACAAAACTTTAAAATTACTTACTTCACTTGTCTGGAGAATTGTGAACTTTGATAGCTTAGTCTTTGAACTGGCTGTACTGAGTTTTCCATCCAACAGGGATCCAAATGACAGAGTCCCAAAACTGTTATCAAATTCAATTGAAGGTTTCAGTGTTGCAGAGATGTCTGGCGCCTGGTCCTGGCCATCCATGGGTCTGACATATGCAGTTGGTTTTTGCTGCCCCATGCTTGTTTTGCAGTAAAGCCCTGATGGGAAGTTTTGAATATAAAGGCCACTGCTAGGAGCCAATAAAGAAGATGCAACTAGGGGAGACCCAGGTGCTTGCACTGTAAATTTATATTCTTCTGGTGCATTGGATTGAAATATGTCTTTGAATGTACCACCTGCACTGGATTTGAGATTAGTGTCTTCCTTTGCTGATGGATTTAACTCTTCAAGTGTCCCAACTTCAGGCTGTTCAGCTGGGTAAATAAAGAAGTCTTCCAGTCTAGTTTGGGGCTGGTCCTGTTCAGATGCCTGCATCTTATTTGGCTGATTACTGGTCTGGCTTACCAGTACACTGCTAGTGTTATGACTATGTCGTGAACAGTCAGGTCTTAATTTCTTGTTTCTGTGTATTAGAGTTGAATTCAGTATCACAACAGAAGGTGGAGGCATTGGTGCTGCAGGGTGAGTATTATCCTGGTAAGGTGGGATCATTTGGTTCTTTTGTTCTGGGAAAAAACTTGGTTTGTTTTTGTTGATGGGAGTCTGGGGCACAGAATTCTTTGGGATTCCAACTAGATGATTCTGATTAGAATGATTAGTTAATAAATCCTTCATTTCATCATAGTTTTCCAGCATGTTCTGGACTCGATTGGCAAGTGTATCACCTTTGTTTGTCTAAAATAACAAAAAAAATTAGGGTGAGAGGAGAGAGGATGAATAGGTTTGTGTTTCCTAATGTTAATGTTTCAAACAGATATTCTAAGTAAACTAGCATATAGAGTTCTCTAAATCTTTTTGCTGCTACATAATTTCATGCTTTTCATGTGCTATGTAAAAGAAATTAATGATGCTATGGAAATAGCCTCTTTAAATGACCTATGTAATTAAAGTTTGTATATTTCCTGGCCTGTCCTTAAACATGCTCATTGGAAGAAGGTTTTAAATTACTTCATTTATTAATTTTATTAGCAAAATAACTAACTTTAAATCAGATGAACTGAGCTGTGATATTCTGCATTGTGATTCACAACTTGTGCTTACTGATCATTGGAATTATAAACAACTATAAGTTTGACATATAGTTGTTCTTGACATGCCAGAACTTTGTATTACATTATACTACAAAAACGGCTTAGCTCATGGAGAAAGAAGTCAGTTAAACTATACCTCCATGAATATTTTCAGTTTAGAAAAGGCATGGGATTAAACAATATCTAATTGAGCTAAGTTATGACTAAAACAAATCTAATTTCTTTTAATCAAAGAACTATAAATTACTGGTGTCTTCCTATTTATTCCGGGGGTTATAGTGTTGATTCATACTAGTTTATTCTGAAATAATATAACTGCTCATCAACAGTGACTTAAGCTCTCCATTGTCTTTTCAACAATTTTAAATTTTTTTTCAATATAAACTGTCACTTAAGTAAATAAAAGTCAGATTTTCAAAGTGATGTTGGCAACGGAACCATTCTATGGACAGCCAACATGCCAGCTATACTACCCCCTATAGGATATAACAATCTTATTAAAATGACTGTGATTGTTTTATAAATAGCTAAGTCCCTGAATATTTTTTTCTAATATAGAAAGCACAGACTTTGAATCCCCTGATCGGCAGCTGTGTGAGAAGACACAATAGCCAAGCTCCCAGGAGGCTCGGACCTGGCCCGGTGTCTTACAAGCCCAGGTACTGAGTACAGAGAGGCAGTCACAAATAGTAGATCCCTGGCTAAAAAGGACATAGAGTGGTCTAGAGATGCTTGAGGAAAGTCTGCAGATAGGCATTGGGGAGAGAACTGAGGGAGTGGCCAGGGGTTTCCTGGTGCTGACTCCTCCATCACATGGCAGCTGCCATCTTCCTCAGGGAGACTACTCCCCTTAGTGGCAGCAGCATGAAAGGACACAATAGCCCCACCACCAGGAGTATTGGGCCCTGGACTGGTGTTGGGCAAGCCTAACTACTGAGTAAAGACTGGTAGTCACAGATAGCACTCCCTGGCTACAGGGGATGCAGAGTAGTCTAGAGATACTTGAGAAAAGACTGGAGATGGAGGTGTTGGAGACATAATGAAGGGAGAAGCCAATCCTGACTCCTACCCCATATGGAAGCAGGCCTCTTGCTCAGGGAGACTACTCCCCTGAGAAGCAATAGCTTGAAAGGACCAAGAACCCTGCCCACAAGAGGGACTCTACCTAGCCCTGACTGCTGAGGGCAGAGTGACTAGATTAAAAACTGGAAGAGAAAGACAAAGACAGTACATTCCTGGAAGTCTCTTACAGACTGCCAAAGGTCAGACAGGGTCAAGAGCCGATATCATCAGAGGTAGATACAAAAAGAAAGAAAAAAAATGGTCTCTTAACATAAAAGTTCACACCACAAAGTCAGGAAGTCAAGACAAATCAATTTAAGAAGCAGGAACAAAAAAAAAATCTCACAAAAAAAGGAAGAAAAAGAAACTCACCCAAATTGGAGGGCAAGGAGGAATCCCTAGAAAGAGAACTAAATGAAATGGAGGCAAGTAAACTATCAGATATTGAGTACAACACAATGGTTCGAAGGAAGCTAAGTGAGCTCAGTGAGCTGAAAAAGAATTACTAAACACTACAGGGAAACTAGGAGGAACTTATTGCAAACTATATAAGCATTAAAAAGGACATAGAAACTATCACTAAGAGACAAAAGGAAATGAAGAATACAAATTCTGAATTGAGGAACACAGTAGAAGGAATCAAAAGTAGGCTCGATGAAGCAGAGGATTGAATCAGTGAGCTGCAGGACAAGGTAGAAAGAAGCTCCCAGAATGGGCAATAAAATGAAAAAAAAAAGACTCAAAAAGGATGAAGAGACATTCAGGAAATGCAGGACAACCTGAAATGTAATAATATCCATATACTATGGATACCAAAAGGAGAAGAGGAACATGGGATAGAGAACATGTTAGAAAAAGTAATGATGGAAAACTTCCCTAATGGGAGGAGAGAAAAGTTTGCACAAGTCCAGGAAACACAGAAGGTCCCATTCAAAAGGAACCCAATGAGGATGACACCAAGACACATCATCAGTAAAAGGGAAAATATCAAAGACAAACAGAGAATCCTAAAGGCAGCAAGGGAGAAACAGGTAGTAACGTACAAGGGAGAACTGGTAAGGCTATCAGCTGACTTCTCAAAAGAAACACTACAAGCCAGAAGAGAATGGCAAGAAATATTGCAAGTCAAAGAAAGCAAGGGGCTGAAGTTTACTCTACCCAGCAAGACTCTCCATTAAAATGGAAGGTGAAGTAAGGAGTATCCCAGAAAAAAGAAGGCAAAAAGAATACACCTCCCCTAAACCAGCACTACAAGATATGCTAAAGGGAATGCTTAAAGAAGATATAGAAAAAGAGTGAGAAAGAGGAGTACAGATGCAAAATGAAAAAATGAATAAGTACCCATCAAAAATAACTTTAAATATATATAGATTAAATGCACCAATCAAGACATAGGATAGTTGAATGGATTAGAAAACATGACTTGCACATATGCTGCCTACAAGAGACCCGCCACAGAACAAAGGACCCACATAAACTGAAAATAAAGGGATGGAAAAAAATATTCCAAGTAAATGGACAGGGAAAAAAAGCAGAGGTAGCAATACTTATGTCAGGCAAAACAGATTTCAAAACAAATGTCATAAAAGGAGACACAGAAGGACACGCCATAATACTCAAAGGAATAATCCATCAAGAAGTCTTAACCATGGTAAACGAAAATTTACCAACACAGGAGCACCCAAATATATAAGGAAAATGTTGGAGGACTTCTAGTATGATATAGAGAGCAACACACTGATAGTAGGGGATTCTAAAAACCCACTGTCAAAAATCGATATATTTCCAAACAAAACCTCAACAAGGATATTGAAGAACTGAATGATACATTAGATCTAATGAACTTAACTATCATAAATAGAACTTTTCATCCCAAAGAAGAAAAATACACATTCTTTTAAATATACATGGAATATTTTCAAAGATAGACCACATGATAGGTCACAAAACAAGTATCAACAAGTTCAGGAAACTTGAGATCATAACAAACATTTTCATGGACCACAAGGACTTGAAACTAGAAACAAATCTCAAGGAAAAAACTCAAAAACATTCATACTCATAGAGACAGAATAGCATACTATTAAACAATCAATTGGTCAAAAAGGATATCAGAGAAGAAATTAAAACATTTCTGGAAACAAATGAAAGTGAACACAAACAGTCCAAAACCTATGGGGTACAGAAAAGGCAGGCCTGAGAGGGAAGTTCATAGCAATACTAGTGTACCTCAAAAAGATGGAAACATTCCAAATAAAGGATCTAACCCTCCATCTTCAAGAACTGGAGAAACAACAACAAACAAAGCTCAGAATGAGTAGAAGGAAGGAAATAATGAAGATCAGAGTAGAATTGAATGACATAGACACTAAAAGAACAATTCAAAGGATCAACCAATCCAGGAGCTGTTTTTTTGAAAAGATAACCAAAATCGACAAGCATTTAGGCAGATTCATCAAGAAAAGAAAGGAGAGGACCAACATAAAGAATATCGGAAATGAAAGTGGAGTAAAAACAACTGATACCACAGAAATACAAAGGATTGTAAGAAATTGCTATGAACAAGTATATGCCAAGAAATTTGAAAACATTGATGAAATGGACAAATTTCTAGAAAAATATAATTTTCCAACCCTGCTTGAAGAAGAAGCAGAAATCGTGTACAGACAGGTAACAACTGGTTAAATTGAAACACTAATCAAACAACTCCCTGCACATGAAAGCCCTGGACCAGATGGTTTCAAAGGAGAATTTTACAAAACATTTACAGAAGAGCTGACCCCAGTCCTTCTCAGACTATTGCAAAAAAATACAAGAAAAAGGAAGACTGCCAAACTATTTTTATGAGGCCAGCAACATCCTAATCCCAAAAATAGATAAAGACACAATCAAGAATGAAAACTACAGGCCAATATCCTTGATGAACATAAAGGCTAAAATCCTCAACAAAATATCAGCAAACTGTATCCAACAATACATTAAATATCATCCACCATGACTAAGTGGCATTCATTCCATGGATGCAAATCCATAAACATAATGCATCACATAAAAAAAGAGGAAAGACCAAAATCACATGATCACATCAACAGATGCAGAAAAGACATTTGATAATGGGGAGCACCAATTTATGATAAAACCCCACAGTAGAGGGGTAATAAAGGGGGACTACCTCGATATAATAAAGGCAATATATGAAAAAATTTACAGCCAACCTCATACTCAATGGGCATAAACTAAAACCTTTCCCACTAAGATTGGGAGCAAAATAAGGATGTACACTTCCACCACTTCTATTCAACATAATTTTGGAAGTCCTAGCCACAGCAATAAAACAAGACAAAGAAATGAAAGGCATCCGAATTGGAAAGGAAGAAGTAAAACTATCACTGCTTGCAGATGACATGATAGTGTACATAGAAAACCCCATAAAGTTAACTAAAAATCTCTTCAACCTAATAAATGCATTTGTAACAACAGCAGAAACACGATCAATATTCATAAAATGAAGTCAAACTTTGTATACCAGAAATGAAATATCAGAATCAGAAATCAGGGAGGAAATTCTCTTTCCTAGAGCAA